TTTGAAATCAGACTTCATGTTGGGATGGGAAGTACTATGGAAATGTTATCACCTAAACTATGTTGATATGACCATACAATACTATACCCCACCTCACATTTAAGTCATGTTTGCTAAAGATAGAAGCATGCTGTATTAGAAATATGCCATTGCTAATCAATATTTTGACACTTGTTTTATTTTTGAAATGTGTTTTCAAAAAGTATCATCCTCTTTGTCTCATTTTGTAATTGTGGAATACTTTTTCTACCGTTCAAAAATACTTTATGACAGTTGTTTAACTAGAAATTGTAAAATACTTATAAGATAATAGCACAAAATTGTGTCCAGTAGACTTCAATAGTGTCTCTATTTGCTGTTATTTAAAAGCATGATGCTTTGTTAGCTGTGTCTTCTCATATATATTCTTCGGTAAGATTTTATTGCCCATATAGGTCTTCAGAGCCACTGAAACAGCTTGAATGGCTTAGTAATGGCTAATGTAATGCCTGTATATTACCCATTGTATGTTCATCTCTAAGCATTTACGGAGCTCTTGAGCTTCAAGATTCCCCATTCCCAAATGCTTGTGTATCAAAATCTGTGAGGATATTTAAGCAATCCCTGACCTAATTTAACATTACATTGTATTCCTTCAGACAGTGGAAGAAATTATCAGTATAAACATAGTGGTGTGACAATGAATGAACAAGCAGTTGATCTTTGAATATAAATGTGACCCATGACCTCCTTCACTTGGACAAAGCCTCGTTGTAACTGCTTATTACAGCAGGAAACTAGTTACTCTTGTCTAGGTTTTGTGTCTATGCCCAGTGATCACCTTTGTGAACTTAGTTATGTTTTCTGTTTATAATAAATAGAAAGTTAGACGTTTATATATGCTATTTCTTAAATCAAAATGTTAGAAATGGGACCAGCAGTTAGCATAATGGCTGTCGCTGGCTGGACTCCCACATAGTCAACCGCGGTTCGCATCCCGGACCCGCTGGCTTAAACTCATGCCGGGCACGTGTGCGTGCGTGCCCAAGATCCTGAGAGGAGAATGGAGGAGAGGGGATTGCAGCATGGCCATCCCCCCTGGGGGGTGATTTCTCGCTTTCTATCTCTCTGTCTGTCTGGTGAGCGCACGCACCCTATAGCAAAAGCCTCTCA